CAATCCTTCCCCAACCCCCTGCTGCAGATGGGGATAAACTCAGGAGTGATGAGGCAGGTTCCCTGTACCGTCAAGGTCATCAGAGAAGCCCTTCTTGCAACCCAGGGTCAGAAAAAGGAGAAATGATAGTTCAGCATAAAAATGTCAAAGTTCTGCCAACCTGAAGAATGTGAGTCTCATATGTAGGCAAGAGAAGTGCTTTCAGCCAGAATGTGAGCCTTGTGGTGTGAACAGAGTGAATTTCCAGGTGGGGTTAAAAAGAAGAACAGCTATCCACACCTCTGAGTGAGATGCCTCCTGCCATCCTCTGTCCACTCCATCCTGTCCTCCACTTTACACCCAGTATCCCCTCTCTCTTGTCCACAGTGGTGAAGCAAGGTTTGGGAGAGCTCCCTAAAAGTCACAGTTCATTCGGAACTGAGAGGTTGTTCCAGAAAATGTAGGGGCTTTGGGAATGGGACAGAGATGAAAGAAGAGAGAAAGAATATGGAAAGGAGATGAATTTGAAGAAGGTTGGATGAAGTAGGTTCAGAGAAGGAGGGAACACCTGTATGGGGCACCCTCAAATTCTGGGAGGGGAGCCTTCTCTGTTTGGGTTGCTGTAACAAAATGCCACAGGTACTTGTTGGGTGGCTTATAAGCAACAGGAATTTATTCCTCACAGTTCTGGAGAGAGAGAAGTCCAAGTTCAAGGTGCCAGCATGGTCATGGGCTCTTAAAATCCCTCTTCCTGGCTCTTAGGTGACACCTTTACACTGTCCTCACATTATGAAAGAGGTGGAGGCTCTTTTATAAGGGCACTAATCTCACTCATGCAGGCTCCACACCCATGACCTGATCACCTCCCAAAGGTCCCACCCACTATATCATCACCTTTGGGGGTTAGGATTTCAACACACAAATTTGGGGGTGGGACACAAATATTTAGGCCATAACACATGTTAAATATTTTTCACCCCAACTTTCATTCTCCTCCCTTTGAAGATTGTCCCTCCTGCCCCTCTGATTCTCTGTGAATAAGTACTGGTTTTTAATCTACTGTATGCATGTTCATTGGAAGAACTAAACAGTAGTATAAGCAGTAGTTGAAATACATAAAGGAGTTGCTCCCCTTTTGGTTACCCCCTATTTCAGATAAGTATAGAGGCAACTGAGAACATTTGCAGGAAGCCAGAGCCAGCCAGTGCCTGAAACAGAAGGAGTTTCAATAGGGGTCTAATCACATTAAGGGCCATAGGGAATTTTAAAGGTTCCATGAGTGAGAAGGTAAAATGTGACAGCCTTGTGAAAGGTAGTTTGCTTGTCTTAGAGAGGGATAAGGCCAGGTCTAAAGGGAAGGGGACATACATGCTCAGAGGTTCAGACCATTGGCCGCAGAGTAAGCTATGGCGCTAGTGGAGAGAATAAGTCCCTGATCTCCAACTGATGACCGACTTAGCCTTGACCTCTGAACATCCTTAAGACCCTCTGAAATGTTCTAAAAATAGCTACCTCAGTCAAAGGAAGAAAGGGTTGAAGCCCACACTCATAAAAAGGTTGATAAAACAACAAGATATCCAGTTTTATGGCCAAGACAAGAAGGTGCGATCACAAGACAGTGTGAGGTTCTGGCAGCAGCCCCCAAGTTTAGGGATCACCTGACTGTTTCCTTCAAGGGAACAGAGGTCTAGGCCTATTTTACAGAGCATCCTTCTGAAGCTATTCTGTGTCTGCTTCTACTTTGGACAGGACATTTACTAGGCGTACCAGTTAATAATGTGGATTTTTTTCAATAGATAGAGTTACACATATGTTGATATATATACGATTTGACATGTATGCTACTTTGTTGTATTGACAGAAAGCTTCAAAACTTCAAATGTCAAATGTCAAGGCGTTAACATCATAGATATTTTTAGGCTTAAAAATGTCGAATTTTGAAGACCAACAATTACAAGCATTATTGGATGAAGATGCATGTCAAACTTAAAAACAATTTGCAGAAAGATTAAACAATTTCCGATCATTTAAAAGCAAAGAAGGAACTCTTACCATTTGCAACGGTATGGATGGAACTGGAGAGCATTATGCTAAGTGACATAAGCCAGTCAATGAAGGAAAAATACCACATGATCTCACTCATTCATGGATAATAAAGACCATTATAAACTTATGAACAATAATAGATACAGAGGCAGAACTGCCTCAAACTGATTGTCAAACTGCAGTGGGAAGGCCAGGGAGGGTTGGGGGGCAGGAGGGAGGGGGGTAAGAGATCAACTGAAGGACTTGTATGCATGCATATAAGCATAACCAATGGACACAAGACACTGGGGGGTAGGGGAGGCTAGTAGAAGGTCAAGGGGGAAATAAAAATGAGATATATGTAATACTCTTTCTTTGTAATACTTTAAGCAATAAAACAAAATTTTAAAAAAAGAAAATATCTATATCAATAATAT